TTGTTTTTTTTGGCAAATGGATTACCATTTGTATTTATTTTTACTACAAATTCCATGGTTAAACTATGGTTAGTGTAGCCAAAACCATGGTTAATAATTTGTGGTTACCATGGTTAGGTAAAATCATTGTTAATTTCCGTAAGGGTTGTGTTGTTGTCTGCCCTAGCTCCCCCTAAACCTATTATAAACGATATGATTATTTGTCTGCTAAATTACTACTGTAACATTACAATAGATAATAATGATGTCCTTTAAACAGTATTTTGAGTGATGACTGATTAGCAATGGGCTGCTGCTGCTTAACTAAGTAAACAAAGACAAAACTACAATAGCATATTTACAGATGAAACTGACCTGCACTTGAAATCCTGAACAGTAATTTTGCTTCTCTGCTCCACCTGTGCGCTTATACAGTCCACTCGAATCTCTTGCATTGATTACTCTGATCCAACCCGTTTGGCGGAGGTGCGGAGCGCGCGCGAGTGCCGAAGTGCATTCCCAATCACAACTAACTGATTCATGATTTATTAGAGATTTATTATCGAATGTCGAATTCGTAAAACAATCGCTTTAGTAAATTCGGCAGGCAATTATATAATAACATTAATATTAAAAAAGCGGGCAAATTCAGCTGCCAGGCCACCGGGAATTGTCCCGGTTCTCCCGATGGCCAGTCCGCGCCTGATTTCCACAGACACGCAGAACGTGCAGGATTCATATATTGTCTTTTTGCTGCTGAATATTTACAGACCCTAGTCCATATCGCGTTTGATTCAAGTGTACTGACCTACTTTTGATTTATTCATCCAAATGTTGCATATTCCGTGACATTCCGCGTCATAGGAGTTCCAACCAGTCCGTGTTTTCCGCATCGCGGAAATCATAGGGCCGTATGTCTCATATTTTATAGTCAGAGCAATTTGGGACAAAAATAAATTAAATCTGTATGTGGATGTGTGTAAAGATTCAAATGTAACCCCCTTTGTAATCGTTAACATTTTCATAAGTAACTGTAATTTAATTACACATTTTTTCTTAGTAACTGTAACTGATTACAGTTACATTTATTTTGTAATTAAATTACGTAACGCCGTTACATATACCTAGTTACTCCCCAACACTGTCCATGACTCCTGCTGCTGAGTAACACAACCTGAGGACTCACATCTGCCTCAACACCTCACAGTTAAGACTCTACTACAGAGTTACAGAGTTACAACCCCACCTCATTAGTCTCAAAGGATGTGAATATCATGTATTTATTCTAATGATTGCACATGCCAACATTTAGGGAAAACATAATTTTATTAATAGATTAATCTGATTGACATAGAGATATATGTACAGTGTTTGGGTGCAATCTCCTTTCTTCCTTTCCTGTTGCTCAGTGTCAATACCATAAGATAAAACAAATCATGAATATTTATAAATATTGACAATTATAGTGTTTGCTGCAAGCTTTGGGCTTGCTGTAATGAATATCTTGCAAATAATTTTTTAATATAGGGATTTATTTTATTTTTTTTACATTTTCACAAATATCTGTTGATAGTGGCAAAATAAATGAACCCCTTCGTTTACTATATATTTGACTAATTATAATATATTTTATTATAATATATTAATATTTTACATTATATTTTAAATTAAACTATAATGTAAAATATTAATATATCATGATATAATTATAAAGAATATAATTATATACACACTATAATTACATTAAAATTGTTAAGTTTTAATCTATATATACACACATGAACATCTTACATCTCTATGTTTACAATACATTTTAATATCTAAGTTGTGATCTGATCTCAGTGAAGGTAATGACTTATAATTTATTTAAAAAATAATCACATGAAATTGTACATTTAATCTCTAATTATTTTAAAGAGGAAATTGTGCTATTTTATATTAAGAAAAACTTTTTTTAAAGTTGTAAAAAAAATGTTTGTATATGGTAAGAATGAGGGTTTAATTGTCAGATAAACGTACAGGAGTGAATTCGGGTAAATTAAGCCATTATTTACCAAGCCATTTACAGCAAACCTAAACAATTTTATCAACAATATACACAGTAAAAAAATTCTGGTTCGATTTTTTTTTTTTACACAGCGTAGCCTACAAACACATTAGCATATTCATAGAACTGAAAGGACAGATGTGTAAAATAGATAAGTAAAACAGATGAGGTGTGTAAAATCTGATTTTATTTGACAGTGAATCTGCCTCAGCAGTGCTTGTCTGCGGCTGGGCGTTTCGCGCATGCGCAGTCATCTCTCTCTTTTTTCCAGGCCAGTGCGGCAGGCGGACCGCAGGGAGAGGGAGATTTTAGGAAGGACAGTTACAAAAGTTAAAGAAGACGAGAAATCATGACACAAAACAGTGAACTCGTCGATCGCCTCTCCTCGCCATTGAACTTGACATCCCTCATCATGGCGCTCGTGCCACCTATGAAATATTGATTTTTTTGTCATCTACACCAACTTGAGGATATAATGCCGGGAAACGGATGAGAACTGGATTTGCTTGTTGGATATTGAATCCGGCGCTCGGGGATGCAGTTGGGATTGTTTTTCCTGTATGTAATCAATATATGAGAGCAGGGTTATTGGACTACACGAGAGCTCGGGCCGATCCGTTATTTTTCCCATCACCGCTCTGATCTCATAGCTCCGCGGGACGTGATGCAGCGACGCGCTCTGTGTTTTAGTTTTATGCTTATTTATATTTTATTTTTATGTACAGCACTTTGGTTCCACTTTGTGGTGTTGAAAGTGCTTTTAAAATAAAATTGAGTTGAGTAGATGTCAAGATGGGTGATGCCGCAGAGATCAAGGAGAGCAAGAGGACGTTCATCGTGCCCACGATCAAATCTGTTGTTCACTATGATTTCACCAGGGCCAAGATATCGTGCAGTTTGACGTGGCTCATCGCCAAAGCCTTTGGATCTGGTAGGTGGCGCTTAACGGTTTGAAAAATCTGGATTTTGAGTGCTGGGGGAAGTTGTCACAAGGGCTATACTGCATCTCAGTGGTTTAATATAGGTTTTATCAAACTGGGGTCCGGGGATCACAGGGGGCCCCAAGGTGGGTACGTGGAAATGATATGAGAAACGAGAAATGAGAGTGTAAATAATAATAATAATAAAAATATATATATACATGAATTAAAAATAAGTAATAAATTAAATAATAAAAAATTAGATTTAAATGAATGAACAAGCAAACAGATTAAAACATAAAATAAAAATAAATAAGTAGGTTTAAATAAGTAAACAAATGAGCAAATAAATACAGTACAATAACAGCACTATAATGAGTTTTTTTGTTTACAAGAGAATAATAATGTAATAATGGAACTTTGGAGAAATCAAATATTGTCAAATTAATATTTTAGATATTTATAATATTAATATTTCACAGTATTAATTGTGTTTGTATACAAACTCTGTAGATGCCTTTTAAATTTTAGGATGGGGTCCTTTGCATGAGGATGATCAAATTTGGGGGTCCGTGACATTTAAAAGATTGAAAACCCCTGGTTTAATTTCATGAATTATTTTGTCTTTCATAACTGTTAATCTTTACATTTAGCTGAAACACCTATTTAATGGCAGTTTGCACTGTGACAATTTACCCATATACTGTAGTGTGACACCTTGCTATTGCTCACCAAATATTCAATCAACTGTATATTTTTTCCTAGGCAGTGTTCAGTTGCCTTTTTGTTGACAAAGACTTCAGCGCATGCATTCATATTTGAAAGTAGGCCTACTAAGAGAAATATGGGCTGGAGTAAAATTGTGTCATCATGCCTGTTTTCCCCTAACAGTATTTAAAAATGCAGTGGGCATATTTTTAAATTTAGCATCATGAGTGTTTAGTGGAGGGATTTTGTTGATGGAAAAAACACCAATTTGTTCAATTATGAATATGAGAAGAGAATTCATTTGTTGTTCTCTTAGGAGACATGAACAAAATTTACATAAGTTCTGCAATTTCTAAGGTATTTTAAGTGCTTATGTGTCTCACGAGAAGCAGTATACAGAGGTTACAAACAGTGCATTTCACAAAAAGTCTACATGTTGGTAACTGTTGCCATGTCTGCAGAAACCATTAGCCTAGATCCCTACATAGACTCATGAAAGGCAGTAGTCTGGCTTATGGCTCTGAGTCCGTCCCCACAGTCCGTAATGAATGCTCAAAGCAGATTCCCCACTTCTGCACACAGTAATAAGATTGAATTTTCCAGAATAGCTCCCCATGGAGGATGCTGGAATAAACATAAACACAGACTATCAGACTTGCATGGCCTTAGCAGTGTGGCTTTTATTGCTAGAGCGGCCCGGCCCACAACAGAAACGCCTGTGGAGTGCAACACAACAGGGCCCCGATGAAAACGGCTGCTGGCAGAAGTATGTGTGTGTCTGTAAAAAGTCAGCTTTTCTCATTGGAGTTGCTGGTGTTCATGAACTCTAATGTGGTTGATAAAGCACGGATTTACTCTGATCTCTATTGCAGATGTCTCTGAATCACCTAAATTTGAGTCTGTTCTGTTAGTGACATTAACAAAAACTACTATTGGACTTAATACCATCATTTTTGGACATTACACCTCTTGTGAAAGAAGAATTTTATTGAATGCATTAGAGTATATTTAAAAAAAAACTACTTGCAGATAATGTAAGTTCCACTTTAGTGTACTTTAAGAGAGTATATTTGCATGAGTGTTTCTAAACACACTTAAGCACACTTTAAGAGTGCAGTTTAATTTTAGAATAAAAGTTTTAATTTAAAGTACATGGTTTAATAATCTTTCATTGTGCTTCTAAAGAGTAAACTTTATTACTAACTGTTTTGTCATTCAACATTACATTAAAAGTCCATTTAAATTTGAAGTTTCAGAAATGACAATAAAGTATAATTTAGTTGCTATTAATGCTTGTCAGTATTTGGCAGTAACCGTATTTTAAAGACAATTATAAAATTATACATAAAGTACTTACTGTAAGTCCTACTGTAAATGGGTCGCAAAAACACTCTTTAGTTCAACTGATTGCACTTAATCAAATTTTCAGAATACATTTTAATTTAATTGCAAATAACATACAATTAAGTGTCCAATAATATTACATGCATTTGTACTTCAGTAATTTTTTTAACTTATATTATTTCCGTAATAAAGTCTCTTTTTGAAAGTATGCATAAGTGTACTTCTTTTTCACAAGGGGCCATACATACAGTAACAAGTATTTTTGACATTTACCTTCATGATCCTGTGTTTGCATGGTAGTATTATGTAAATACCATCGTGCATGAATATGGTCCTCATTTAGTACCTTGGCAAAAATCTTTTTTTTGTGTAAGTGTGATAATATCTCCCCATCGGTTACTGCTATTCACAGCAGAGTGAAACTGCTGATCAGCATGAGAAACAAACACAGGAAAACGAGCCCCACCATCGCAAGGCATCCTTAGATTGAAAATAGAGTCTGGTGGATGTCTGGTCATCCAAATACTTTTCTCGGAAATGAAAAATAAACAAGGCCACAAACAGCTGTTTTGAGTGCCAGTAGGCCCTCATAGCGATATTGTCCATATCCTGTCTTTCCCTCCAGCCTAACGTCTGTGGCATATTGCACATACCACAACAGAGAGCATTCGTTTCTGTTACATCACTGAAACCTGAGGAGTGCTGGGAGTGTGTGACGTTCACATGTGACTCTGTGCAATGTTATTCTCGCTGTAAACTGTTATTAAGGACCAAAAATGTAAAACGTTCATGTTATATTACATATTAGGGACTCATAATGTGGAATGTGAAAATTATTACTTTATTTGTTTCTTAAAGGGGTCATATGATGCTGCTAAAAATAACATTATTTTGTGTATTTGGTGTAATGAAATGTGTTTATGCGGTTTAAGGTTCAAAAAACACATTATTTTCCACATACTGTACATTATTGTTTCTCCTCTATGCCCCGTCTTTCTGAAACACGTTGATTTTTACAAAGCTCATCGGTCTGAAAAAGCGAGGTGTGTTGTGATTGGCCAGCTATCCAGTGCGTTGTGATTGGCCGAATACCTCAAGCGTGTGACAGAAATGATATCGTCCTCTTTTGGAAGGCCAAACAAAGTAATTTCTCTTTCACAACGAATCACACAGTGCCTTCACGATATGGTGGCGGCGGCAACAACAATACTACAGAGAGAATAAAAGTTACGCCTTCTTTCTTTGTGTGAACATTTGGGCGGCGTTATGCAAATCTTCCCACATCGTGACGTAGACATGTGGGGGCGTGTTAGAACGAGTCGTTTTAGGTAGGCGTGGTTGACTCTTAACTTTTATAAAGAGTATCTCTTTGGATTTGAGACTTTAGTCTTTGCAACTTTACAGATCTTCTTTATGCACCAAGAGCTTGTAACACTCCAAAGAGAAAGGAAAAATTGAAATCACATCATATGACTCCTTTAAGATGACAGCATCAGTTTTATATGAAACAGTTTTATATGAGTATGAGACTGATTGAATGAATGTTACATTTTATGAGAAATGTGTAAATATCACAACTGCCACTAGAAATATTATTATCATCATTAACTCACCAAAACCTGAATACTTAACACAAAGTTGATATATATATATATATATATATTCTGGCTGCATTTTTGAACAAAAAAGTAGAATGAAAGTAGTCTATAAGATTTTCCAAGTTGTTTAAAGCCATACAAACCAAAATGTCTACACTGCTCTCTTTTCCATGTTTAGGAAAGTTCATAAAAGTAGTGATGTTGGTAGATTTGTGAACAGATTTGGATTGTTCTTTTGAGTCAGATACTTTTAATAATTTTGTTGATCCTGTTCACAAAATTGGTCTAATGATTCATTTACAAATTGGACCAGTTCTTGAGTTTAAACTAGCGGACACACTGATCCTGTTGCAGCAATTAACAACCCACTGGAGGGGAAGGTTATCTGGGAATTCTGACTTAAATTTTGGCCAGTTTTTATAAGTGATCATATGGCTTCAGAATACTTGGAATTTAGTCCACAAGTATTAAGAGCCACTTTTATGATTCTTTTATAATGCCTTTGGCATCTTTTTTAAGAAAAAAAGCCTGGAAGGGTTTGGAACAACCTTGAATAAATCATGACAGAACCAACCAGTGCAATTAGCAAACAACAACAATCCAGTTAGTTAATGATGGACGAAATCAAGTCCTGTTCTGCTTCTTTTTTAATTGCTTGAGAAGCCATTTCACAGTAAGGAAGAAAAGATGATTGTAATTGACATTTCATGCTGGCCTTAACATACAATTTGTTCAATGTCATTATACTTGATTATTATAAGCATATGCTAAGAATATCTTCAAAATTCTATAGAACATAGTATATTATCTGCTGTAAAAACCTTGATAATTGACCTTAAGATAATAATTTCATAAAGGAACAGAGTTATAAACTCACAAAGGGCAGAGTTGAACTTTTGAAAGGCTTTTGTGAGTCGTGGTGACTTGCTGCCTCAGGCTTTTCTCTTTCTGACCCCTCACTTCCTCTCTGTGTTTGTCGTGCCTTCGAGAGCCGCTTCCTGCGTCTGTCCTCCATCTAGCTGGGATGAAACGTGGGGGAAAAACCTTTCCATAACCAGGCAGCTCTTTATGAGCATGTTCAGGAAAAACCGTGAGCTTAACAGAAGTGTGTGTGTGTGTGTGTGTTTTTGCTTCTGGCTCTGAACTGGCGGAGACTGGCAGAGAAAGGGTTTCCATTGACGCAGCATCTTTTCATAAAGGTTAAGGGGAATGGTTTTAAGAGTGTTCTGATGCCTCTGTAAATATTGAAAATACACATAAAGACTGTCGCCAGCAGTTATAAGTTAATGCAAATGTTGGAAATAAGTGTTTAATAGGGATGGATAATGATGGTCAACTAATCATACAACCAAATGGCTGTTTATTTCTTATTTATTTATTTATTTAATTGTATTTATTTAAAAAAGTACAAATTATTTATAAATAATAAAAATTGTTATTTTAATACAATTATATTTTTATATAATTTTTATGTTATTTCTTTTTAATGTTTAATTATTATTAATTTTTTTATTATTTTTAAAATGAAAAACATTTATTCTCTATTTATTTGTTTGATTTAATTTAATGTTATTTAATTTGTAATAAACTAATTTATTCATTCATTAGTAAATATTTAATTATTATTATTATTTATTATTATTATTAGTTTTATTTTTAAGCAAGAACAGCAGGAACTGTACTGCACCTTTAAGACACATATTTCCTGCTGCTGAAAAAGAAAATGAACACACACACACACACAAAGACATACTGAAAGGAAATGACCCGGGAAGAGCAGGAATCTCCATCGCCTGTTGTCTGACTCAAACACTGAAGCATTATGGGGTGCCAGGAATTTCCTTCTTCTTCTAAACTCAGACATCTGCAGTCACACTTCAGCGTCAGAAACAGAGCTGAATTGTCAGTCTGCAGATGTTGTCATCCTGATGAACACACACACACACACACACACACACAAAGACATACTGAAAGGAAATGGCCCGGGAAGAGCAGGAATCTACATCGCCTGTATGTAGTCTGACTCACACTAACTGAAGCATTATGGGATGCCAGGAATTCCCTTGGCCTTCTAAACTCAGACATCTGCAGTCGCACTTCAGCGTCAGAAACAGAGCTGAATTGTCAGTCTGCAGATGTTTTCATCCTGATGCTGTTAATTTCTGTTTGTGTGCATCACGACTGCTTTGTTTTTGTAGGCAAGTGCTCGTGACTCATTTTTTTCAGGCCTGTACCTGGGTGTTTACTTGTGGTGTGTGTGTAGTTGTGTTTGCTTGCTCCCCAGTGATTGCAGTCTGTATGTGTGTGTGACTCAATTCATGCATGCCTGTACCTGTCTGTTTGTGTGTGTTTTGAGTCTATGGTGCTATTCTGAAGATCTTCAGTGAATCAGATTAAGCGGGAGTCGTAATGGGATTAGTCTGAAAACAGTGTGCCTCTCTCTTCAGGTTCCACTCTTTGACCTCACATCAGCCTGTTTGACCAAACATTGATACTGAATCAGCTTTAAAGTGGAAGTGAAGCAGTCAGTTAAGTTAACATTATTTAGTAAAGTGATTTCCACTTTGATTAAAAAATATATAACAAACATGATTAATGTAACAATTTTAAAGAAAAAAGGATGTTTTGTTATAGATTTTAGAGCAAGGGCGCCGCCATCTTGCAGTAACACCGCGTGTGACGTCACGGGGTTGGTTCGCTCCGATGTCCATTGAAGTACTCAGTCCCATCGCCGTATCGGCTCAAATGCATAGGCAATTGCACTTATTATGGACTTAACAGTGCTTTCAATGTAATCTTCCTCCATTTCAAAACAAGCGTGTGTTCAAAATGTAAAGAAATGCTTATATTACTTCACTGGCCATCGGAGCGAACCAACCCCGTGATGTCACACGCGGTGGTACTGCAAGATGGCGGTGCCCTTGCTCTAAAAGCTATAACAAAACAACCTTTTTTCTTTAAAATGGTTACATTAATCATGTTTGTTATATATTTTTAAATCAAAGTGGAAATCACTTTACTAAATAATGTAAACTTGACTGACTGCTTCATTTCCACTTTAAAGGCACATTAAGTTATTTTTTCACCTAAAGAAATTAATATAGTACTGTTTTTTAAATGTTTTACCCACCTCACATGACCACCTGAATAATCACTCTTTCTCATTAGCTTCCAAAACTTGTGCATTCAATCACAATCCTGTCATTTTCTCTTTAGACTGTGTACCGGTGGAGTTGGAGGATCCATTCTACAGAGACCAGTATGATCAGGAGCATGTGAAGCCGCCCGTTGTGTCTCTGCTGCTTTCTGCGGAGTTGTATTGCCGTGCTGGGAGTCTGATTCTCAGGAGCGACGCGGCTAAACCTCTGCTGGGTCACAACGCTGTCATCCAAGCCCTCGCTCAGAAAGGCCTCTATGTCACTGACCAGGAGAGACTCGTGACTGAGAGAGACCTCTGCAAGACCCCCATACAGATGGCAAGTCATTTGACACTACACCTTCATTTTTTTCTGTTGCAAAACTGACATACAAGGATTTATTTTAAGAGTGACATGACCCTGCAAATGATTTCAAAAGACTGTTGCAATGCCTTCATAGTAATAGTAATATTACTTCATAGTAATATGTGCACAATATATGGGCACTATGGCTGTGTAATTTGGGGAAAACATTTAATTTTAATTGTTTAGGAAAAACATGTAAAATTACAATAATAATATTAATCTATTCTTAATTCTAGTCTTAATTTCTTTATTTTCAAGCATTAAACCATCAAACTTTTATTTTTCTTATTTCTCCAGGTTGCTCACTTAAAGGTAATCTTTAAAAACACCACTCATTTAATAACATTGTTAAATGTAATATTTAGCAAATCTCAAAATGAATATCATTTTTTTTCGTACTGTGCATTATAATGCTGTGATTTCTAAATTCACTTAATTTAAAATAATTGTTTTTTGTTTTTAGCGTTTTATTTTTTGATTATGTAACTATTAATTGTTATTAATTATTTAGACAAAATAGCATAGAATTTTGATATTGGCCAGAATTATTGGCTTATTGGTGTTAACCATAATTTTTATTTTTATTAAATAAATTGATTATAATAATTGATATTGTTATACATCCATAATTGATGTTGTGATGCCTAAATTTACTTGTAGTTTTTAAAATGATTGATTTAAATGTTTTGATTTAGATTTTTTATTTATTTATTTAGACAAAATATTTGTAATTGGCCATATTAATCGGCTTATTGTCATCGACCAGAATTTTAATATCAGTGTATCATTACTACTGACTGAAGCTTTCATAAGTCTGATGTAATGCCTTCATAGTGATTTTTATAGAACAAGCAAGAAAAACGGGAATTGAGTCAGAATGGGAATTATTTTGGTGTGGCTATAATTTTGAGGTTGCTGTCATAATTTAAAGGGATAGTTCACCCAAAAATGAAAAATTCTATCATTAATTACTCGCCCTCATACATACATATTAAGATTTTTTTATGAAATCTGATTGCTTTCTGACCCTGCATAGACAGCAATGTAATTACCGCGTTCAAGGCCCAGAAAGATAGTAACGACATCGTTAAAATAAGTCCATGTGACATCAGTGGTTCAACCGTAATTTTATGAAACTACGAGAATATGAGAATGCTTGTAAACAAGGTACAGCGCATCTGGGTTCTACGTCAGAACGCCGCCTCCTGCCTCAACAACACCACACGCATGTGTCGTGGTACTCCCGTGATTGTGTGTCAAAGACTGACACGGAAGTGAAGAAATTGTTGAATAAAGTCGTTATTTTTGTTTTCTTTATGCACAAAGCTTTATTTATGTAGCTTTTTGGGTGAACTATTCCTTTAAGGCAGTGATAACATGAATCTGCTGGTACTAAACTGGTAAACTGGCAAACTGTGCTGTTTTTGGTGGCTGTGTGTAAGCTGCAGTGTGCACTTCACTTAAGGGTGTTGTAGGGTGTAAAGTGTAGGGTGGATGAGGTGGAGGACTGGACACTGCCATATTAGGCACTGCTGATGTCTGCATTGCAGTACTCCCTCTCTCTCTCCTTCTCTCTGTCTCTGCAGTAACACTCAGTATCTTTTCTGTGTTCAATTTAGGTGCTTTTACCTCTCCGAGAACACAGAGCTCAGTCTAGACCATCTGATTTAACACAGACACAACACGCACATCAAGACACGAACACACACATCCACAACTCTCGTAGTTGCAGACTCACCCTGTGTACAGTAAGCTCCAAAATGAAAACACATCACCACATGCTATCAAATTTGTCTTTTATGTTTGGCAGGGTTATTCGGAAAAGACGAGCACATGTGACATGAGGTTTAGAAAAAAGAACGTGAGCTTCATTTGTCTCACAGTCTGCAAAACTCATAGATACACCCAGTGTGTCCAAAAATACAGTTTAGTCTGCTGTCTCTGTAAGTGCACACTTATATGTGCACATGGGTGGGTCTGTCTGTTGGCGTGGCGATTAGCACTGCGGCAGTGTGTCGAGGGGTGTGTGACTCAGTTGGAGAGGAGGGGTCTGCACTGCTGTGAAACTGCATTGATGAAATTCACTTTAATCAGCATATTTGGGAGAAAAGTGTCGACTGCACATACGCTCTCACTCAGCAGGTGAAACAGAAGGTATGGTTTAAACTGTATGTATACAATGGAGAAACATCTGATTGTTTGTGCAAAGGATTCACATGATCAGTGTCATAAATTTAATTATTTGATATTTCACCTAGAAATAGTGCAGAATATTACATATTTTTTCTTCATTTTACATCATGCTTTGTATTTTCAAAACTTTTTTTTATTAAATATGAAAAATTCCCAGATTTTCAAAGTGGACCCCCAAAAAATTTGGACAGTAACAATTCAAAAACATTTGCATTATATAACAAATTATTAAAGCAAGTGGGAATTATTTTAAAGAAATACAGCACCAGCAAACTTTTCAATGAAAACGTTTCATAAAGTTTTATTCAGTTTGAAATATGAAAGAATAAATACACTGTATATTGCTCAAAATTAAGACAAAAAGTCTTGAGCACTTTCTGGTTGGCAAACTCTACTTGGAATATTTTTTATTGTTAAACTATACAGTGGTTACTCTGCTAGGACATCTGTGTAATTTTGAGGAGAACTGACTTCATAGATCCGTAAAAAAAAAATTATCAGAGCAGTTAACAATGAGATGAACGAACGGGTTTAGAACGATATGAGGGTGAGTAATCAAAGACAGAATTTTCATTTTTGGGTGAACTATTCCTTTAAGGCAGTGATAACATGAATCTGCTGGTACTAAACTGGTAAACTGGCAAACTGTGCTGTTTTTGGTGGCTGTGTGTAAGCTGCAGTGTGCACTTCACTTAAGGGTGTTGTAGGGTGTAAAGTGTAGGGTGGATGAGGTGGAGGACTGGACACTGCCATATTAGGCACTGCTGATGTCTGCATTGCAGTACTCCCTCTCTCTCTCCTTCTCTCTGTCTCTGCAGTAACACTCAGTATCTTTTCTGTGTTCAATTTAGGTGCTTTTACCTCTCCGAGAACACAGAGCTCAGTCTAGACCATCTGATTTAACACAGACACAACACGCACATCAAGACACGAACACACACATCCACAACTCTCGTAGTTGCAGACTCACCCTGTGTACAGTAAGCTCCAAAATGAAAACACATCACCACATGCTATCAAATTTGTCTTTTATGTTTGGCAGGGTTATTCGGAAAAGACGAGCACATGTGACATGAGGTTTAGAAAAAAGAACGTGAGCTTCATTTGTCTCACAGTCTGCAAAACTCATAGATACACCCAGTGTGTCCAAAAATACAGTTTAGTCTGCTGTCTCTGTAAGTGCACACTTATATGTGCACATGGGTGGGTCTGTCTGTTGGCGTGGCGATTAGCACTGCGGCAGTGTGTCGAGGGGTGTGTGACTCAGTTGGAGAGGAGGGGTCTGCACTGCTGTGAAACTGCATTGATGAAATTCACTTTAATCAGCATATTTGGGAGAAAAGTGTCGACTGCACATACGCTCTCACTCAGCAGGTGAAACAGAAGGTATGGTTTAAACTGTATGTATACAATGGAGAAACATCTGATTGTTTGTGCAAAGGATTCACATGATCAGTGTCATAAATTTAATTATTTGATATTTCACCTAGAAATAGTGCAGAATATTACATATTTTTTCTTCATTTTACATCATGCTTTGTATTTTCAAAACTTTTTTTTATTAAATATGAAAAATTCCCAGATTTTCAAAGTGGACCCCCAAAAAATTTGGACAGTAACAATTCAAAAACATTTGCATTATATAACAAATTATTAAAGCAAGTGGGAATTATTTTAAAGAAATACAGCACCAGCAAACTTTTCAATGAAAACGTTTCATAAAGTTTTATTCAGTTTGAAATATGAAAGAATAAATACACTGTATATTGCTCAAAATTAAGACAAAAAGTCTTGAGCACTTTCTGGTTGGCAAACTCTACTTGGAATATTTTTTATTGTTAAACTATACAGTGGTTACTCTGCTAGGACATCTGTGTAATTTTGAGGAGAACTGACTTCATAGATCCGTAAAAAAAAAATTATCAGAGCAGTTAACAATAATTTAAGAAGTTGTTCAGATAAGTTCATTCTAAGAAAAGCTCTAGCATCATATGTTTGCCAATGCCTCTTTGTTATTATGTGTAAAAAGTGTGTCCAAAATGAGCAAATACTTTTTGAGGCAACTATATAAGGTATATCTAATAAACATGTGTCCAAAAAGTAATTCTGTTATTCTGTTTTATCCTCTTTCTCCATGCAGTTTGATCAGAATACCTCAGACGACTGTTGCAATTCGCCCTAATTTCAGTTTATTCACCAATCGCAGTGTCCAGTCTTGAAATGGGTTACAAATTCAATTTGTAATGATTTTCCTCTATAAATGCTATTAAACCTATCTGTTCTAAATAATATCTCATGGAAACTGCTGAAGATGTCAGAATGTGTGTTTAGTTTACATATGTGAGCATGTGACAGTTGTTGTGATGTGATTGTACTGTAAGTGAGGCTGTAAGTCAAGAGCAGGTGAACAGGATGAAAACTCCTTATACAGTAGTTCCTAGAAGTACTCTGTTTTTCATTCTTTCTCATGCTCTTCACCTTCTTTGGCCGGCAGCGTTCCACCCTTCAATCACTCTGTTAGAAGGATGGAGGACAAACACAACAGGTCTTTATGCAAAGAGAGAAAGAGAGAAGAAAAGCATGTTTGCATAGTGAAGCATGAACACTGTGTGTCTTTCAGTGAGGGATACCTGCGCCCTCAGAAGCAGTTCCAGACTTGCTGCTCTCAGACTTTGATGATATGAAAGCACTTCCTGTTGATGCACACTGTACCCAGGCCATCTCTCTGGACCTCTGCTTTACATTTGGACCATTTAGCTATTAATTAGTCAGTGGACATACATTCAGCAACATAAGTAAAACTATAGCATAAAATGGTTCAATTTTTTTTAATAATCACTTTCAAGAGTAAACCTGATTGCTTAAAAACAGCTGAAACTATATAGACATGTGAAAGTTATGAGATGTATGAATTGAGCGTTTGAATCATATGAAGCATTGTTAAGTGCTTATTCATAGAAAGTTTAATTTATTTGTCCTCTGTGGTTTGATAAACAGCCTGCGATATATAGAAAAACTTATCAGATAGATTCAGTCTGACAGGACCTTACAATCCTCTGCTATCTCTTACATAAAAACATCACTGTTTGTGGTAAAATATGGGCTCTGGGTGTTTGTACTTGTATCTAAAATAGAAAATGAACAAATGTGTGTAAATATATGCATGTAATCCCTAAAACAGAAGTCCATGCATTGTACCAAGCCTTTAAAGTCCGTGTGAACCGGAAGTTGCTGCCGACTTTATTTCAGTGTAGTGACGTATTTCCAACTGAAACGGAATATTGAATAGAGGGCATGGTTTTATTTTGGCGCTCCAAGCCGTCAGACTGACGTCATCAGAAAAGGAATGCTATTCCAGAGCGGAAGTAAATGTTCAGATTTTGATTAAAGATTACCAAGACAAACAATTTTTTTCAGCGGATTAACTTGCACGGATTAATTGTTCACATCAAGACTAGCAATGTGCGCTAGTAAAGTAAATAAAGTCAATTTTGATTTCATGCCGACTTTAAAGCTTTTTTTGTCTGTATATCTAAAGAATCTCAATCTCTCTCTCTCTCTCTCTCTCTCTCTCTCTCTCTCTTTTCCATACATAGAAAATCCACAGCACTTAAAGTGATTCCCTCAACTTGTTGGGAACTGAAAAATTTCAATGCTTGGTTGTAATTAATAAATTATAAAAATAAGCAAATAAATAAAAGAATTAATCCAGTAAATGAAGACATAAATCCAGCTGTTGAAATCTGATTAATTAATATTGATTGTATCCTGTATGGGGATGAGTATCAACAGATACACATGTTTGTTTTCGTATATTACTAAGAGCATGTCACTTAAAATATTTGTGATAATTTTATTGTGGAGCTATGAGAACAACACCTGAATCATTTAGAACCAGAATGTCAACACATACTCAATGTCTGCATGGCCTTCATGCATGTGTGTGACTGCTTAAGTGTGTGGCAGAACTCAGTTGGACATGTAGAATGTAGCGTCTGGACCAATCAAAAACACAATTTTTCATTTGATTTAACAAATCAGTTATTCATTAGATTAACAAGTCGTCACAGACCCCTCACCATACTGCAAAATATAATGCGATATATTACATAATACATTTCCATATTTTGGAAACTAGTGCTTATATTTTTCAATGTACAGCAATATATGCATTGACAATATATAGCTATATATTGATACATACAAATATATTTAGAAATGAAGACAAAAATAAACACTCATTGTTTGATCCTTTATTGAGTATGTATTGCACATAGATGTACATACACACATTTACGCAATGAGTTACAGCAGATTTCTAGTTCCCAGCATGCTTGGCTTCTGACTGTTAAAGGAGAGTAAAATTGTTAAAATTAAGTGTTATTTCATGTGTTTTTGCTCAATATTAATGTATGGGGATATCTGTTAGTGTTTAATGTTGTATTATTTTGAAATGTAAAAGGGTTTCTGGTGTGTGTAACTTATAAGTTTGTGGGGTTGCCATTGTGCAGAAGAGTAGAGTGTGTGGTCAGGAAGACAATTGGCCAAACACTGTTAAATTATATGTTATTTTATTTAAAAAGTAATGGTAGTGCACTGTTCAGTACAGTGATAGTCTGTTCACTAAGTGCTTTATTATGAGCAGGTGTGCTTATGCTATTGTAAGCTAGCTATATTTTAAAATATGAAACATGTATATCATAAATGATTGTTAAATATAAGAAATATATATTTCCATATATGTGTGTGTATATACTGCATGAATGTTCAATATATTTTTACACATGCAGTACCATATCTTATCACATCTATATATTATAAAGTGTATTACTGAATATAAAATGACATATATTGTGATATATAAGTAAATATATCGTCACATATTTTTCAATATATGAAAAGCGGCAATTCCTTATGTATTATTCAATATATTGTGTAATATATTTACACAATATATTATTCTGTATAATTTCTAATATACCATTATGTCATTTAATATATCAATCATTCATATATTAGGAAATATATTTTCTTTGCTTTATATTCTTAAAATATATTTTCAAAAATATATTAAATATCTAAAAATATATTTGAAAATATATTGTGGGTAAGCCCATAGAAGAATCAGACGTGCTTCAGTAGCGCAGCGCTGACAGTCAGATGATACATGTATTGTATAGCCCTATATTATATATATTGTGATATATAAGTAAATATATTGTCACATATTTTTCAATATATGAAAGCAGCAATTCCTTATATATTATTCAATATACTGTAATATATGTACACAATATATTATTCTGTATCATTTCTAATATACCATTATGTCGTTTAATATATCAATCATTCATATATTAGGAAATATATTTTATTTGTGTAAGGGTTTAAACCCAGGATCAATCAGACTGAGAAAAATTTAAACGCTTGTCATCTGTTAGTATTCATGAGAAGTGCTTTAAATTTGTATATTGAATTAATTTTTATCATGCAAAGAGTCTGTGTCGTATGGGCAAAATATGAGCACATTTTTCTGAAGTTGATTTATACAGATTTCAGTCTTAGCTAAATATTTTCCTTGGTATTTAGGGATGATGAAAAGCCTAGGCTTGCTGATCTCCATGGATTAAACTGTTATTTGTATGTTTTAGTGGCTTAAGGATTATATGGTTAAGTAAAATGTCAGTTTTATAATTTTAATCAGAAAGTTACACTTTCTTTAAAGAAGAGATTTTAGAGAAGAGATTGCCAGACATAACCTACAACTTATTCCTGCATAAACTTTCTATCAAAATACACTTAAAATAGTCAGCATATATTTTTTAAACTATTTATAAAAAAAAAAAAATTGTAGCACCTTTTGCAATCTTGACCCAGGTATCAACTGAGGCTTTGCACAATGTTTTCATATACAATATGTGACCCTGGACCACAAAACCAGTCATAAGGGTCAATTTTTCGAAATTGAGATTTATACATCATCTGAAAGCTGAATAAATAAGCTTTCCATTGATGTATGGTTTGTTAGGATAGGATATTTGGAAAATTTGGCTGAGATACAACTATTTGAAAATCTGGAATCTGAGGGCGCAAAAAAATCAAAATATTGAGAAAATCGCCTTTAAAGTTGTCCAAATGAAGTTCTTAGCAATGCATATTACTAATAAAAAATTAAGGTTTGATATATTTACGGTAGGAAATGTACAAAATATCTTCATGGAACATGATCTTTAATTAATGTCATAATGATTTTTGGCATAAAAGAAAAATCTATCATTTTGAGCCATACAATGTATTTTTGGCTATTGAATATACCCCAGCGACTTAAGACTGGTTTTGTGGTCCAGGGTCACACATGATTTTGTTGAAAATTAAATTGAGAAAGTTTTAATCTTAAATTGCACTGGGTCAAAAGTGACTCAAATACAAAAGGTGTATGTTGATTTTTAATGGATTAGGAGGATTAAAAAGGAGGGTATAGTTAAATTACAAGCAAACATATGCTTAAATAATCTCTTTAAAGTTTACTTGAGATTAAAGTTGATTTCAGGGGGGTTCTAAGTGTTATTTGCTATTTGCACATTATTTTTGAAATAAGGGGATTAAGAGAATTTTATTAATCTGGAATTTTAAGATTTAGTTTGGGGTTGGACTTAACTAAGTTTAAATGCTAATGACTTAAAGTACTCCAAAGCGACCCTGTTTCCCTCTTCAATTTTAGGGCTCTTTAAAGGGTCAATGAAACACTAAACTACTTTTTTTAAACAGAGTTGTTTGTGTTGCACATCATAGATTATGATGTTAGTATTCATTCATTTTGATTGGATGAGAACACTGCTTAATACTGTACATACTGTCATTTCAATAGCACTCTCTAGAGGTGAGAGACTGACTAAGCAGACAGAAAAAGGCCATGTTTGGTTTAACACTAGTTGAAGAAATGGCACCAGATCGTCATATTGTTTATGACTTTCTTGGTATGTAGTGCATGTTAAACCAGTAAGATTTATTTTGATGAACAATGCACAAAAGATCTGGATAGATTGCCTCTACATAACATTGCACCAAATCTTTGGAAAACAGCTATTTGTGTCCATTGTAAAATAACTGATACTTGCAATTTAGGCACATTTGTGTTGGGGATTAATAGGAAGAAAGATATGCTTACGTTTTGTGCATTCTCTTTTTCCTCTTGTCATTTTAGAGTTCTCACCTGGCGATGATTGACACTTTAATGATGTCGTACACAGTTGAAATGGTCAGTGTGGAGAGAGTGCTGACCTGCATACAGAAATTTACTCCGTTTCTTCCTGAGGTGGACTTCCCTTATGACGCTGAAGAGGCAATAACCACTTGGATCAGTAAGGTGAGAATCCCATAGCATTCATGATTGACCTATGGTCATGACCTATTGGTTGACCTATGGGTTTTCCAACCTGCAATTCTGATGTTATCTGGAGTGCGGTGCAGCTAACAGCCAGTATAATGCCAGTTTAATATACCAATGTAGCAAATTAAATTAAATTAAAGTCAATATTTACTAATAATATTTTAAAAATATAACAATATTTGTTAAAAATATAACAAAACATTTTATCTTACCACTAAGAGTTCTCCTAAATAGCAGTAAAAGTTTTTAGTTTTCTCTTAAGACATATTCACAAAGCTGCTGAGACAAACTTTTACTAAGGAATAGAGAGAAGTCTTAAGCTAAGAGTAAGGGCGGGGTTGACCTCGTTGCTATGGATGATGTCAGCATGCTTACTAACTATGCACACAGTGACCGACAGATAGGGAACAACACATTTCACATTGAAGCCCTGTATCGGAGCTTGATTCGTTTTGCCAAAAGCACGTGATCTATGACGTCCGAAGCTTCATTCGCCTGAAAACCACGTGACTGCTTCAGTATCTGGTTCAAACGAAGCGAACCTCAGCGTCCTTTACATTATAATGTGTTAGCATTGCTTTTTATTTATACATTAAGCTCAAATGAACTTTGCCCATTAAATAACAGTCTAAGGACTGAGGCAGAGTTAAAAATAGACAGACCAGATCACAGATTTAATTTATGAATTTATGTTTCATTTATTTAACTTATTTTAGTGGCAGTACACCTACACAAATGAATGACTTTGACAGTGACCATTATTTATATACAATAAAATAAAGAATCATTTGTAGAACCAGATGTGAAACCAGCATCTGTAATGGAACACAGCACTTTGGAAGGTGTTATTTATTTTTATGAGCACTAGATTGATGAAAAGCTTTGAGTAATGAACCTTTTCCCGATACAATTGTGTTGAAAGCTTCGCTGGTTCAGAACACTTCACTTCTCCATCACTACTGTCAACGGTCTATAAACATGGTAACACTCGTCACAGCATAACGTTTTTTGATACAAGCTTCGGTGTTGAACGTAACATCACTAGCTGACAGAAACAATGCATGCCAGTTGAAAATAGTGTTAATGTTGGCTTAATTTATTTAAAGAGTGCCCAATGGGCTGATGCTGGCTGAACAAAAGATTTTAAAAAAGATCAGTAATGTATGTAAAATAATAACCAGGTGCTAATGACATAAAGTTTGCTTTTAATCTTGCTAGAATGTCACTGTTGTATTGTTTCAATTTATCTTAACTTTTTATCCCATTTCCATTTCTTGGTACATCAATATCAAATATCAGCAACTATACTGCATCTTATCATGAAAACATAAGTGATTAACTAGACAAGCTGACAAATACTATTTCTATAAGACTTTGTTTTTCTTATGCATAAAATATGCCAAATGCAAACAACAGGTTGATAAAAGTTAAATCTATGTACATCTCATATCTTTGCATCTCATAAATATGTAAAAAATAGGGCTGTCAGTTTAACGCGTTAACTTAATTAGTTATGCAAAAATAACGGACTGGCCCCGCCCCCAGACCGGTATGTCAACTTATATTTTATACAGTTGACTGCTGACAAATATGATGCAGGACAACAACTCCATAAATGCAGTTATGCCCTAAAATTCAAGCTATTGGTGCAAAAAATGCCCCTGTATGAGTTTTTGTCTCATATTTATATCATACGATATCACACGAGCAGCGAGAGCAGCATTACATGAATGCTGTTTTTGTTACGAATATCACAAGTTTAAATGTGATTTTATACAACAGTTCCGCAAATAAGAAGTTGATAGTGTTATATTTTAAACACAATATTATGTGCTTTTGCTCAATTTTGCAAAGAACATATTACCCTTAAAGCCATAGCAGAACTGTTGTGCGTCTGTGAGCAACACAGCAGTGTTTAGTTTCTGAATGAATCTGCGTTTTGAACGAATCATATGAATCAATAATTCAAAGGCCCATTCATAACGAGAGTCGTTTACTTCATTCCTGAATGAATCAGCCGTTTGAACGAATCGAATTAAGATATTTACCGCCACCTGCAGGCAGATTTAGTTTCTTATTTAGAGTATAATTTCATAATAATAAATAAAAAATAAAAACATTAAAAGGATAGTTCACCCAAAAATTACAATTCTGTCATATTTACTCTCCCTCATGTCATTTCAAACCTTTCTTTTGTGGAACATAAAAGAAGGTATTCTGAAGACTGTTGGTAACAAAGCTGTTTTAGTTACCAATGACTTTCATTGTATGAACAAACTATACTGAGATGTATCTCAAATTATCTTCTTTTATGTTCCATGGTTTATGTTAGTCCGTTGTAGCCATTGTAATAAATTTGATGTTGAATCAAATAAAATATTTCTCTCTAAAGCTACAATTTATAATGTCTACTTGATACTTTCTCATTTAACACAAAAATAGCTTTTCATCTTTTAATAATCTTTTGTGGGTATTTTCACAGTCAAATTTATTTTGCGATCAATTAGATTAATTATTCGACACATCATGTGATTAATTAGATAAAAAAAATTAATCGACTGACAGCCCTAGTAAAAAACTGATCTAACTGATATAGCATAATATAGATGATATCATTTGAGAATCGGCTTCTAGATTTAGGTTCACTTCAAAGAAATTGGATTATAAAAGATTTAGCAAAAGTGCCATCCTCACAGATATTCATATTATGTGCAATTCTTCTGTTTCACACTCAGGTTAGGATGATTATCCTCTCTGTCAGTAAATCATGGACAGCTGATCATGTATCGACCCTCATGTCTGCATTCTGAATGTCATAGGCCAGTGGACCATCAATAGCAAAGCCAATGTAGAAAGTCACCCTCTCTGTACTGTGACCATTTCTTAGTCTTCCAAGGTATGTGCGGCGCACAGGGATCCTCAGCTTTCCATACTCAGCATAAAGCTCACCAAGCTCCATCATGCCATTAACTCTGAGGAGCTTGTCTTTAATCGCTTGTTCCTTAAAAATATCTGCATTTTGCCACAGAACGTTACGGTCTCTTACTGTACTGAAGTCGCTGTCAAGGTTGGCTTTAGAAACCAGTCTTTCTAATCCATTAGACTTCCCCAGATAGAAGTGAGCAATTGGGTTTCTGACTCTGAAAATGTGTAAGAGTTGCTTTCTGGAGGATTTTTTTAGCATGTCCACATATGTAGCTATTCGGGGGTCAATGCCATTTTTTCCAGGCCACAGCATCACTAGTGCAAGGTAGTACGGCTCTGGATGTGGATGCTGTGTTCCAGCTTCTTGCAAAAGTTCTTTCAAAAGATCAGTGAGTTCTTTTTGGCTTTTTGCAAATGTTGATTTAGGCTTATTCAGCTTTAGAATTATGTGGGCGAGCAGATGGTTTGTTTTGTCCTTGAGAGATTTGGTGACACAGTTCTTGAATATGAAGGAATGTTTTTCAACAATTTGCTCTATAACGTTTTTTCTGAACTCCAGAAACTGAAGAATTCTTGGGAAATTGTTTGCTCTGTTTTCCTCTAGGAACATTCGACATTCCTCAATTTCCATGTTCATGCTGAGTTTTGGTTTAAGTTTTTTCTCATTTAATCTTTCCTCAGATGAAGAACAAAACAGGGAGATGTATTTTTTGAAGTGATCTGAGAGTTTTCCCCTGTTCTTAAACTGCTTTTCTTTGTCAACAATGCCCTTTTCTCTTGTGTAAGTGAAGAAAACTTCAAGGAAGTCAAAGGCTTTGTCTACTTGTGTCTTCAAAGAAACAAGGAATGGTTCATGCTCCATAAGAATATCAACCAGTTTTTTGTTGGTATCATTCTGGAATATGGGAATGTTTTTTATAGATATTTTATCTTTGAAAAACTGCTGAATATAATGATCTTTCATGGAATCCCCCTCCTTAAACAGCGGCAGTCCCCTCACAATGTCAAAGACTGTCATAGCAATGTCAATCTCACTCATGTATCCAGATATGTTGTAGGTGTTGGGTTTCCTATGAAGTGTCTCTTCCAGATCAGGAATATCATCTGTCTTTGCCAAGATTTGAGCCCTCTGGAAAGCTTTTATTGCTGCATCAGCTAAATCCAGATACTCTCTCAGGTCATCAGGTGTGGGTTTCTTGTTCTCTTGCTTGTTGCAATCAATTTTATGTTTTAGCTCACTTCTAGAAACCTGCCCAACTGTATCGAGGGTGTATGAATTCTCTTTGATGGTTTTGGCTGCGTGTGCCCAATCCTTTGCTAGAGCAAAGTTTTTTTCATTCAGATATAAATGTCTTGCTAAGGCTTGAGGAATTACAAAGTCCTTATCAAATCGTCTCGATGCTTCTGTAAAGATGTTCTGGATTTTTTTCAGTCCGTCATTCTGTGTATTGATGTCCTCTATTAAAAGTGAAAACAGTGTGTCTTTCTCGTCACCTTCTGCCTTGCGTTGTCGAGTGATTAGCATGTTTTTTACTGACTGTAGGAGGTTATCTTTTCCTATTCCACTTTTGAAAAATAAGTCGGAATGCAGCAAATTTTGGACTATGTCATATCTTGTGACTTTGTGTGTATCTTCCAACTCCTTGACACACTCGGTTGCAATACGTTGATGAACAAAACGGATTGCTTTGTACACTCCACATTCTTCAGCTTCAAACTCAATTAGCAAGCATGACTGAGGTTCCATTTCATCCAAAACTGTTTGCTTCCCCCATAAATTCCTTTTAATGCCCAGAAAGTCTTCACACAGTGACACGGAAATGGCTGAATCAGCCACATAGTAATTCAATAATGCCAGGATTGAGAGAAGTTGTGCTTGTTTTTTTTCAGTGTCAAGATCTTTGAGAATATTACGAGCAACATTTGCAACATACTCTTTACTGAAGTTTGACTTCATGATCATGAAACTGTAGAAATTCTCTGGTTTTTCATGTGTTTCTTGCAGTTCCTTTAGTTTACTCTCGAAAGCATCCATTTCTTCTTTAGACAAA